CTTATGAAACTGAAAATCCTCTGTACTGGAAAGGACACTGTAAAACAAAACAAAATGACAACTTACAAACTCGGAAAAGATTTTTACTAATCCTACGTCTGACAAAGGAGTAATCTCCAAAATATATAAAGAACTCAAGAAATGAAACACCCAAAATCCAGATAATCCAGTTAAATTGATTATGGTACAGAAGTAAACAAGGGAACTTTTTGTTTGTTTGTTTGTTTGTTTCTGTGAGCATGACATGTCCTTCCTCATCTCTTTTGATTAATTTTGGTTGAAAGTTTATTTTATTAGATATTAGAATGGCTGCTCCAGCTTGGTTTTGGGGTCCATTACTTAGTAAACCTTTTTTTTCAACCCTTTTCTCTTAGGTAATATCTATCTTTGTGGCTGAGGTGTGTTTCTTGAATGCAGCAGAATGATGGATCTGATTTATGCATCCATTCTGACAGTCTGGATCTTTTTTTGTTGTTGTTGATAGTTATCTTTTTTAATGCAAAAACAAAACAGAAAGCTTTCTTTGTATTTGACATCGAGTGACAACAGCACATGTATTCAATTTATGGCCATGTTTATATTTTGGGATATGCACTCCAAAACTATTTTGCCACAAAGGACTCGGAAGTTCAGAAAACCTTGTCCAAAAGTAATCACTCTAGCACAGGCCAGCCCTCTGGGTGAGTCTACCTGTAGTCAGCACCAACAATTGCTCTGTAATTAAGCAGGACTCAGCAGGGTCCTAGCAGCCTTTATGCTTTCACTGCAGCTTCTTGTAAAATACTGCAGGAAGTTGAGTGTGGCCCGGTCTACCCATTGTCACCAGCTCTTCTTCATTCTTCCCTGATGATTGCCACCACACAGTTGGTATTTTGCTTATATGTCCTTTGCGTTCTGCAACATAATGCAGATCTTTCCGTTGGTCTAACTGGAGACAGTGTTGAGCATTCAAAAGAAGAAAGGCCTTTTTATTGGAGAGTTGAATACATTGATGTTGACAGAGGTTACTGACCGGTGACTGTTATTTCCTTTTATTTTGTTGTTGGTTTTGGTAGTTGTCTTGTCTACTTTATTTTTCTTTTTTTCTGTAGTTATTTATATCTACTATATTTTGGGGTGTAGTTAATATTAATATCTTCTGTAGGGCTGGGATTTTGCACAGATATTCTTTAAATTTGCTTCTGTCTTGAAATTTCTTGTTGTCTCTATCTATGGAGATTGAAATTTTGCTATGTATTGTTGTCTGGACTGGCATCTCTGGTGTCTTAGGGTTTATAAGACATCTGCCCAGGCCCATCTGGATTTAATGGTCTTTGCTGAGAAATCAGGTGTAATTCTAATAAGTTTGCCTTTATATGTTACTTGGCCTTTTGTCCTTGCAGCTTTTAATATATTTTCTTTGTTCTGTACAATTAGTGTTTCGATTATTATGTGGTGGAGGGTGCTCTTTTCTGTTCTAATTTTTTTGGTGTTCTGTAGGTCTTTTGTATGCTTATAGGTATCTCTATCTTAAAATTTGCAAAATTTTCTTCTATAATTTTGTTGAAAATATTTTCTTAGTTTGGACCCGGGAATCTTTTCTTCTATTTCCATTATTCTTATGTTTTGTCTTTTCATGATGTCCTTAATTTTAGGATGTTTTGAAGCAGGTGTTTTGTTTTGTTTGTTTATTTGTTTTAGATTTAACATTTTCTTTGTGAAAAGCATGGATTTCTTCCATTGTGTCTTCTACACCTGAGATTCTTTTCACCCCCTTTTGTTTTCTGTTCTCAATGCTTATCTCTATAGCTACTGTTCTCTTACCCAACTTCTCCATCTCCAGGATTTTCTTAGTTTGTGCTTTGATTTTTGTTTTTATTTCCATCTTCAAATCTTGAAGCATTTTATTGATTTCTTTCATCTGTTTGTTTGTATTTTCCTGCATTTCTTTAAATGACTTGTTCATTTTTCTTGTGTTTCAGTTGTGTTAGTGTATCTGGGGCTGCTTGCCATGGGATAACTGGGTTCTGGAGATGCCATATTACCCTTGCTTTTGTTCATTGTATTTTCACACTGGCCTTTAGTCATCTGGTTGTCTCTTTCTTTACTGGTAGTTCCGGGTGCCAACTGAAGTTGAAAGATGGCGGGAAAGAACCCTAAGCAGGACACTGCTTGGATTAGTGGGTGTAGTCTTGGACTGGCATTCAGTTCCTAGGGAACTGCCCATGTCTCTTCTCAGATGTATGATCCTGGGGACCAAATGGACTCCTCAGGAGCCCAGGACCCTCCTCTTGGCAGGGGAAGTCGTCGGTCAGCAGTACGGCTGCTGGTTTTCTTGTTCTGTGCACAATAGGCTCCAGCCATCCAAAAACTGTGCTCAGACACTGTTGTAGCTGAGTGCAATCAATTTGGAGATTCTGTGAGCTCAGAGGTCTGGTTAGTCTCATTAGGAAGATGGATTAAGCTTTGAAGTGACAGCTGAGATTGTTCTGTAGATCCTGAGCATTTGCAGGCCCCCAGTACCCACCAGAATGTATCCAAGGGACAGTGAGAGTAGGCATGGGGCTAGGAGCTGAGACAGAAGAAGCTTGGAAACTTTTCCTGTGATTAGCTGGCTGACCCGAGGTTGGACCTGCTCATTTCTCTTGCGGTGTGCTCTCCTCTCACCTGGAAAACAAAGATGGTGTTTGGGGTTCAAAGCATGGCATGTCAGTTGCACTGCTTTGACCGTTATCCTGTTGCTCAGGTACTGACTGTGAGTGATCAATGCTGCCAAATTGTCTTGCAGAGACAAGTTTTTTGTATGGTCTTTTTATTTGGCATTTTTTGTCTTTTATTTCTTAGTTTGTTCTGTTTTTGTATTTTAAAGAGTTGGTCTCATTCTGTATGGTACAGTGATTTCCAAATCATGGATCCTCTTCTTCTTCTTCTTCAGTTTTCCAATAGTAGAGAGTATATCCTGAGCAAGTTATGTTTTATTTCCCTGTCCATCTATCCCTTGCCGCACTCTTTACACTCTACAAAGGTGTTTCTTTTCGCAGTTATTCTCATGTAGCTGCACCTACATTGATAGGGACGGCACATTACCTAATTGGTTACATACATGTCCTGGGTTACCATTCCGTAGCTGTGAACAAGTTGAACTTTAAACCTTGGCATCATTCATGGTTTTATTAGGTTGATAGTTACAGTAGATTTTAATGTGTAATAATGTATAAAAAGCCCCATATCTAAAGACTGTAGATATAACCCTACCCAGCCAATAATTTTGAATCCCACCAGTATCAAATCTAGCCTAACAAAAGAAAGCTGTGTACTCTATAATGACATTGTTCAGCAATTTAAAAAGACACATATAGCACCTATAACAGGAGTGTTGTTAGAATATAATGCAACTTCCTCCTTCGTATAGGTGCCACAATTGTAAGATGTGACATATTTTGTGAAGTTCATGCTGTGGTGTAAAATATCCCTCAAATCACTTACCCTTAGGTATTTCCCATCCCAGTTAACAACAAATTCAAGTTTCATGTTGCCCATGCAGAAATCTTGTTGCCTGAATTGATTGAAATCAATCTTATTGAATTAATCAATTGAAACACTACAGTATATGTATAATGAAAGATTGTTTAATTCACAATATACAGCGTCAAATCAATTTTAAGTTTAATTTCTTAGTCTGTTTGAATTGATGATTCATACTGCAAACTTTCTGGTAGTTCTTGTTTTCAATAGTCGGTGAGCAAATTAGCATACGGGCACATGCAAACATGCAGAAACGCAACACACACACACACACGCGCGCTTCAAACAGAAACATACAGAAAAACACCACAAACCCGACACACACATACACAGCTCATTATCATTTGATAAGTGAAAACGGTTTTTTTTTTTAGAGATTTTCAGCCATTTATTTTTATACTTGATTTCTTCTACCAAAACTTGAATAGTCTGGGAATTCTCTTGATTCAATCTTTAAATAACTAAGTGTTTTCCTCCACATCACTTCTCTGTCTTTGTTTCATGTCAATACCTTCATTTCTCATCTCATTGCAACAGGTTCTCATGTAATATTTCTGCTTATATCATTGATTTTTTTTTCTATCCAACATAGCTTTAGTGAAATTGTTGGTTGCACCGTAGATCCACTCACCCACAGTAACATTTCATCTCACTCAGGGAAAACAGTCAAATCCTTGGTAGAAACTGTGTAGTTAATGCTCAAAAAATAATCTATTATTGCCCTGTCCATGACAACATAAACCAAACTCTAACATCTAGCCTCTCCTCTGTTCTTAGAACACTAAAGACATTGGTATTTTGGGTATTGCTAGAACTTTATTCCCTCAACTACCGGTTATTACATTTTGTATACAAGAGTCTTATCAACTACGAATGAATCTTACATTACCAAAAATGTTAAACAATTCCATGATAATAGCAACTTAGCACTTACAGCTATAATAGCTATTCACCGTCTCATTTTCAAGATCATAAACTCATATCATTATAAAATTCTAGAAGTAGGCTTTGTAAGGAGTCTATGTTGAAACAAGGTATTTCAGAATTAAACCATTACAATTAAAACTTATTGATTTGAGCACAACCTCGTTTTATACTTAAAATTCATTGTGAACATCAGCCATCAGAAACTATTCAAGCAAAATTCAGGAATACTGTTAGCCAAATGTTATTTGGTTTGATTAGTAGTATACAATAAAAATAAATCAATAATGTTAAGAAGAAAGAGATAAGTAGAAATTTGGAAGTATGCACCATTATGGTAGCATACATGTTAGAGAGAAATCCGATTATTAGGTGTTAGAGAAAGGCCCTGTTTCAAATAAAAGAGAATGTACATACCTAGATGCATAATTATTACGGACAATATTAAAATATAGAAATACTAGCTAGCAGAAAAGGCATTTTTTCTAGAGACCACAAAGAAAATATGTTAAAATTGGGACTTTCACATGATCAAAACTTATCCAAAATATTTGGAATTTTTGCTTCTAAAGGTTTCTACCGTTTCACTGTATCTGAATCTGCACCCAATGGAACATCGATAGGAAAAATTATGGCATACGATGATGACATAGGAGAGAATGCAGAAATGGACTATAGCATCGAAGAGGATGATTCACAAACATTTGACATCATCACTGACAATAAGACCCAAGAAGGGATAGTTATACTAAAAAAGGTACATGCAATTAAATCATTAGCGTTGAAAATAGTGCAAAAGGTAATCAAATACATATAATTATGTAAGGTTGTTGCCTATGCTTTGCATCACTAAAAACTGAACTGAGATAATGATATGTACCTTGGGAATACATTAATTTAGAAATGAGTGGTGTGGACCTTTAAAGGACTTTATATTTTACATGTTTACATTTAAGAGTATTTCAAATGAAGAATACTTTAAATGAAAAGTACCTTATTTAATAAGAAAACAACTCCCACTATCCTAAAATATTTAAGCCAATAAATGTATAATTCTATTTCTAAGTTAAACTATGGTTATTTCAAAGAAGCTTGTAGTAGTGAAATAAGCAAATTTTAATTTTGATACCTGATTAATGATTATAGAAAATTAATTTACATATATTAAAATGAAATCCAGAAGAAAATAATTGAGACATAAAAAGTTAATGTTTTTTTTTTTTTTGAAGTGAAACCTTGGTTCACTGAAATTATTTCTTCTGAACACACTGTATTTATTTGTAGAACATTAACTTTGAGCAGCAGAGCCACTATGGCATTAGAGCCAAAGTAAAAAACCGCCATGTTGATGAAGAGCTTGCACCTTTCCATGTTAACCCCTCCACAACATACATTAAAGTCCAAGTGGAAGATGAGGACGAACCTCCCTTTTTCCTCTTACCATATTACATATTTGAAATTTCTGAAGAAAATCCATATGGAACAATTGTAGGGACAGTCTCTGCCATGGACCCAGATCGAAGGCAATCTCCTATAAGGTAGGTGTTTAGATTTACTCACATTAGCATAGTGTTCATAAATGCTCAACTGGATATGCCAGGTTGGGTTGGTATGGGGGAATACCCTTTTCTAAGTAGAAGGGTAGGAGGGAAAGGGGAAAGTAAGAGGGTGGGAATGGGAGGAGTGGAGGGAGGGGCTACATTCAGGATAGAAATAAATAAACAGAGAAATAAATTAATAAATTTAATTAATAAAATAAGTTTTTTTTCCTAAAATAAAGACAGAATGTGTTAGAATGAAATAATGTTCCTTGGAAATACAAAACAAGACGTTTGTAAACTATTTTTCTTGATGTGTAACTTAATAGATTCGTAAGAATAAAATAAGTAAGTTTAAATAGCTTCTGTGTTGTTCAAAATGCATTGGAAAAGTCAAGGGTCAAGGCAAAAAAAAAAAATGTAAGAATAGGCAATCCTCACCTAAACTACAGTGAGATACACTTGTGATTGCGTGTGTGTGCATGTGTGCGTGCACACGGATGTGTGTTTTGTGTATGTGTGTGTAGGTCAGACAACACCAGGTGTCTGTCCTGCTTCGTTGTTTTCTGTCTTATTCCTACGAGACAGAGTCTTCACTGAACATGGACTAGGTTGGCAGTCCGCAGGCATTGTAGGTACTCTAAGATCCGCAGTACTGACATTACATTCTCACAAGACGACAAATTAAATCTTCACATGGTCCTTATAAAGGAACAGTAAGTGCTTTTACCCATTAAACCATCTTCCCATCTCTGCTATCCACCGAATTTTAAAATATTTTATTGTTTTTAACATGTCTTCTGGTGTGTCTATTGATATTGTCACTGTTCAGCTCATGTTTAGTCAGCCATGTTTATGAAGCTTCATGGCTATATCTGCCGACATTACTGGAAAATACAATCTTACAAAAGTCCCTCTGTTCCTCTATCTCCTACATATTTTTCTGCTGCTCTTCAGCAATATTCCAGTATCAGCAGGTGTGGGAATGATTTGTAGCTGTGCATTGGGGCTGGACTCCACAGCTGTGTGATTTGATTGCCAAGGGTTCAGTAGTGGAACCCATAGCTTAGTAATAACCAAACCAACAGCTTTCTAATTATACCTAAGAAACACTCAATAGGAGGATAATGGTGTCTGACCCTAGCAGCCTAGCTAACGTCTCAGCACCTGTGAAGTCATAATACTTGGAGGACAGCCTACAACAAACAATTTACTAAATCAGTGTAATTCCTATACCGGTTTTTATTTCTAATTTAATTTTTTATGGGATATGCATCAATTTATTTGATCTTGATATTTCTTTCTAATTGTTAGTAGATGCTTACTGATTTATGAAAAATCATCATTTCTTATCAAGCTTATAATGGGATTATTTGGAATGGTGCTTTACAGAAACAGGATTATATGTTAAATACAACCATTAAACGACTGCTTAATTTTGCCAGAAAATTTATTAAACCAAAAATGCACACACATTTATATATTTAAGTAAAATGATTCTAAATAATTCCCATTGAATAAATTAAAAATTGAATCCTAGTCTAAAGTACTATTCTCTAGAAGTCATATTTTAAACTTCTTTTGAACACCACGCCTCAAATTAGGATATTTTTAGAAACATCTCAATTCAGGTTTAAAATATACTCCTTCCTCCCACATTAATATAGCAAATCTCAGATATTTTTGTGAAAAGTCTTCAAGAAAGTGTTTGTATAAGAAGCCATGTAAGTGGACTTGGAAAGGGGCAGGGTGGAGATGAGAGAGGGAGGGTGGGATTGGGAGGGAGTGAGGGAGCGGGATACAGCTGGGATACAGAGTTAATAAAATGTAACTGATAATAAAAAAAATCTAAAAAAAAAGCCATGTAAGCTCCAGGTTTTACTCTATTTTTTTAATTTTGTTTTTTTACATTAATTACATTTTATTCTCTTTGTATTCCAGCTGTAGCCCCTTCCCTCCTTCCCTCACATCCTCACCTTTCCCTCCCTCATCTCCTCCCTGCCTCTCTCTAAATGCACTGATAGGGGAAGTCCTTCTCCCCTTCCATCTGATCCTAGCTTATCAGGTCTCATCAGGACTGTCCTCCTCTATGGACATTCATTATTAATCATTCTCAACCAGATAAAACATTGAGTGCCTCAAAGAATTATTTTTTTTGTAGATTTACAATCGTTTCAGACTTTTACATGAAAAATTTTGTAACCCAGATACTTTCCAAGAAAATTAATCAAATTTATCATCAATATGTTTAACCCAGATGAAATTATTTCTAATATTTGAAGTTTATTTTCCAAAATAATTAAGTGTTACTGGGTCAACTTTTGCCAACCTGTGCAGATCCGTGTCTGTGAGACCTGGGATCTGAGGATGTGAAAGAATGGTATAGAACACAGTCTGATGCTACACAAAGGTTTCAGTGCACTTTTTAAAAAATAAATATAACAAAGAGAACAATGATTCAAGGAAGGTTGTTTAATCAGAAAATCATGAACATAAAGACATGTAAATAAGCATCAGCATGCATACATTAAATATGATCAGAGCAGCCCCTTCCCAGAAATTTCTCAGGACATCAATTTAAAAACATGCACTATAGATTATATCTGGGGAAACTCGAAAGCAGATCCTTTTGCTAGGTTGTGTTCTGTAGCTTTTATTTGACATCCAACAAGAATAAATATGTCTTACAAATTGAATGTAAACATTTAACACCGGAGGCACGATTTCATGACCAAGAACAATCCTGGGAACAAAATACAGCTGCAGTAAAAAGCCCTCTGCCTTTTGTCTTGGTGACTCTCTTTGCCAGGGACCAGCCTCAGCCAATTGTGCCTCTTGAGATTGGGAGAAATAGATGGATTCAAGAGAAAAGTCACTTCACACACAGGGAGAAGTACAAACTAACAGATGACTCCTTTTAAGAGGTTGTTCTCTGGTGTCTGCTTTTTTGCTTTTGTTTTGTTTTGTTTTGTTTTTTTGAGCAGAGTCAATTCCAGTCTTTTATTGTTAAATCATTTCCTTATATATTTTTCTATATGATCAAAAACATTTTCACATTTCCCAAGAATACTGGCTTTTCCCCAAAGACCCAAAGATGAGAATAAACAGAATATAACAATCTGTACTCTACATACATGGTGCAGAGTGACTGTTCCCAAGAACTCAAAAACAAAATATACTATACAAACATGGTACACTTATTACAATGCAAGCAGCAGGCATATTTAACCCTTTTCTCAGTGCTTTTCGCAGACAAACCATCACATCATAGGTCATCTGGGAAAAACATTGCAGTTACATTAAGTGGCATAAGAACAAAGAAGTGCTAAACAAACTAGACTGTTTTTAAGTCTTAGCTGCTGTTTGTAGCTGAGCAAGTTCTCTTTTTTTCTTTATTAATTACACTTTATTCACTTTGTATCCCCCCCTGTGGTTCCCTCCTTCCTCCAGTCCCAATCCCTCCCATCCTTCACCCTCTGCATGCATGCCCCTCCCCAAGTCCACTGATAGGGGAGGTATTCTTTTCCTTCCTTCTGATTTTAGTCTATCAGGTCTCATCAGGAGTGGATGCATTGTCTTCTTCTGTGTCCTGGTAATGCTGCTTCCCCCTCAGGGGGAGGTAATTAAAGAGTAGGCCAATCAGTTCATGTCAGAGGCAGGCCTTGGATAAATCTACTAAAATATGTACACCTAAAGAAACTAATCAAGAGGGAGGACTCTTGCTAAAATGCTCAATTCCTACCCAGAAAGGCAAAAAGGATGGACATCAGAAGAAGGAGAAAAGAGGGAACAAGTCAGGAGCCTGACACAGAGTTCTTTCTGAGCTTTTTCTAAACTTCTTTTGTAAAAGGAGGGATCTTTCAGAGGGTCTCTAGCCGCTTCCTCATATACTAATCCTTAGTATAAATCTAGACACAGTTTTAGTTTCTCTAGGATCTAATTCCTTGTTGACTGCAGCACTCTGGGGGCTGCGTGTAGAAATTCTAACAATTCATGATATTGTTTGATATTAATGAGCTGACTAAAGTTTTTTCAGGGAACAATTAGCACAAAGACCTCTGTGGATTCAGTTTCTTACTCAGATATTTCAGGATTCACTGTCTTTACAGCCAAGAGGAATGCTTCCTCCACAGTGGTTGTTTCTGAGCCATTTCCTTATTTTCCAGTCCCAGTTGATGTCTTACCAGCTTCATTGACTAGGGTGAATTCAAGGAAAAAGATGGGAGTCGCAGTAAGAAACAAAGCAGGCAGACACGTAGGGAAAGGCAGCGCCATATGTGGACTCATAATCCAGAGATGTTTCTCCTGGGTGAGCATGGAACTGTGTCAAGCAGCTGCTTCTGCAACCATGTCAGACCTGACATCTCTCACAGTTAATCAAAGCATTGTTTACCATGAATCATTCCTTTGATTGGGTTCTGGGAGTATGCAATGAAAGTTTATTTTTACCAAATACTATAAAAATACTTGATTTAAACATTTATAGATAAACATATTTTCATACGTGATAAAAGTTATTGATTTAAATGTCCATGGTATAAAATAAAGACTTCCAGGATAGGACTGTACTAAGGAAAGGGCTTAGTCCTCAAGCAGAAAAAATAGCAGGTTGACAGTCACACACTTCACTGATGACCTAGCTGTGCTTTCGTCTATATGAAACATAACTCTTATAACTACTTTTGACAAAGTCATTCAGCAATTAAAATTCTCTCATGATATAAGAGTAATGTATTTGCATTTATAGTACCATAGTTTAATTACAAATCTTTTATTCTTTTCAAAAATATTCATAATAATTTTAGAGATTATAATATATTACATTACTTGCCTCTTCCCTTTGCTTCCTCCAAATCCTCCAATACAACCCTCCTCTTCTCTATCAAATTCAAGGGTCTTTTTTTTTTTTTCATTGTAGTTTCATGTTTTTTTTCTTTTTTTTGCTCATAAGTTTCTATTTTATTTATATTTTTAATATTTACAGATTATTCACTTTGTATTTTACATGTAGGCCCCTTCCTCCTTCCCTAGCAATCTCACCCTCCCTCCCTCTTCTCCACCCATGCCCATCCCAAGTCCACTGATAGGAGAGGTCCTCCTCTCCTTCCTTCATTCGGGTCTCATCAGGACTCATCAGGAGTCGCTGCATTGTTTTCATCTGTGGCCTCATAAGGCTGCTCCCCTTACAGGGGAAGGTGATCAAAGAGCAGGCCAATCAGTTCATGACAGAGACAGTTCCTGTTCCCATTACTAGGGAAACCACTTGGACACTGAGCTGCCATAGGCTACATCTGTGCAGGGGTTCTAGGTTATCTCTATGCAGGGTCCTTGGTTGGAGTATCAGTCTTAGAAAAGTCCCCTGTGCCCAGTTTTTGGTTCTGTTGATTTATTTGTGGAGCTCCCGTCCTCTTCCTGTCTGTTTTTAAACAGCATTTATTCTGAGCAAAATCTTTGATATGTGAATGTAGTTTATGAGAATTAATGAGCATCATCTTAGCTATGGGAAGAATCCACTTAATGATATGTCTTGAAGCTTTTAAAGTAGGTGGTCAATATAGCTTTGCTATAAAATAATGCAACCTGGATGTTGTCTTTTCTCTTTTTGGTGCAGATATTCTCTCTATGGAAGCAAAATGTTTGATATAAATGACAATGGAACAATCATTGCCGTTAACAAGCTTGACAGGGAGGTCAGTGCATGGCACAACCTGAGTGTCACAGCTACAGAAACCAGTAAGTCTTCACTAACCAGCTGCACACGTGATAACTGTATTTTGTGAATAATTACACAGTGTTGAAATTGGAATCTGATATATATTTAATATATATATATGTTTTCTTATTATAAGTTAGTATCTTCTAATGCAATTTAAAGTTTCCATAACCTTACTACTAAATTCTAAGTTATTCTTATTTATTATGTTTGGCTTAATAAAAAAATAAAGGTTGAATAAAACACAGAAGATAATAAAAATTACCTTTATATATAAAATGTATCTATTATGTAGCACAATGTGTCATTGTGCTTTTTTTCTTGGTTATATATTTATATTGACAAATAAAAATAAATGGTTGTTTCATAAACTTTAACTTATATTGTCCATGTTTATTTTTAAATTGTATGTTTAATGGAAAACATATATATATATTGAAAAATCATTTACTTTTAAAACGACAGTCATGATGTTACTAAATAGGTATTACCCACTAAATTCTCCATTTACAGGATGGAGTCTTGTCTCTGAATAACTACTCTGCAAACTGTTAAGACACTGAGTAGAATTTTAGGACTTTTGTTTTTGTGTGTGGGCTTTCTGTTTTGTTTTGTTAGTTTAAGTTTTCTTTCTTTCTTCTCTTCTCTAGAGAGAGTGAGAACAAGAGAGATTTCTTTCAAAAAGAGAGGTTTCTTTCTCAAAGAACGAGAGAAGCTTTCTTTTTGTACAGTCTTGGCTGTCCTGGCATTCACTGTAAAGACCATGCTGGCTTTGAACTCATGGGGATCTGCCTGCCTCTACAGCCCAAGTGCTGGGATTAAAGGCATGTGCCTCCAACACCAAGGGTTTATTTTCTTCCAACCATGGTAGGATAGACAGTGAATACGTTTGTCCTAATATTTGGAAACTGAAATAAATGTCTTTTCCTCATCTTCTTTTTCAGATAAAATATTCGAACCAATTTTGTAAATTAGTACCAAATCACATTTAACATAAACCTTATTTTATTCTAAATTTGTTGCAGAATATAGACAATTCCAAAAGCCTTCATTGGTTATCTGTATATCACAAAAAAGTAATTCATTTTGAAATTGTGCTCATAGCTTCTGCTTCAGACAGTCAGAGAGCAGGACTTTGTTCTTCCATTTTTACTTTTGCAAATAGATGAAAGCATACCAGTTGGTTGCTCAGTTATTGCTCTTTAAATTGTGAATCAATCATTTATGTGGTCAACTATTATTAAAGCTAATGGTAACATATATGAAAATTGCCAGATAATTCTTGTTATTTAGTCATTTAACACTGTAGCACGATGAAAGATTAAAACTGCATATAGGAAATTTTTTGTGGCAGACAGAAAAATGGCAAGGTTTTCCATGTCAGATAACATGAAGATGCTTACACTAGACATCACAGTTTTTATCCATTTTGGGTTTCTGAGACTAAATTATTATACAACTCTGCAAAGCTACTGTGAAAAGAAATCAAGTTGTTCGAGAGAAAAATAGAAATAAAAAGAATTCTCTGTGGAATGACATTCAGGTATTAATGATTGTAAATTGTCAAGGCTATAGAAATAAGTCACTGTCAGTATTTGTCACAGATGAGGAGAATAAAATAAATAATTTATCTTCGTGCTTTAAGTGTATTTCAAAATAAATGATTAGAAAGAATCTTTATGTTCCATAAACAGTCTACTTATGTTTTATTATTTGTTTGTTTTACGTGTTTATGGACATGTATAAGGATACACTTATAGGATAGACTGGGGCATATTTTGAGGTAAAAGGATAATTTGGGGATTGATACTCTTTCTCTAGTATTTGAGTTCCAGGGATATAAGCCAGGCTTCAGATGTTGTGGCAGGACTATTCTACCAAGCAATGTTGCTGGCCCTACTATCAAGATTTGTAGACTCAAATGCTTTAATTAATGAGATTTCACCTTACACCCATCAGAAAGACCAAGATGAAAAACTCAAATGACTCCAGGACAGAAAACCAACAGCACAGCCTCTAAGAGCAACAATCAATAAATGGGACCTCATGAAACTGAAAAGCTCCTGTAAAGCAAAGGACACCGTCATCAAAACAAAACGACTGCCTACAGATTGGGAAAGAATCTTCACTGACCCTTTGTCTGACAGAGGACTAATATCCAGTATATACAAAGAACTAAAGAAGCTGAAAAGCAGCAAACCAAGTAATCCAATTAAAAAATGGGGAACAGAGCTAAACAGAGAATTCTCAACAGAGGAATATCAAATGGCAGAGAAACACTTAAAGAAATGCTCAACCTCATTAGCCATCAGTGAAATGCAAATCAAAACAATCCTGAGATTTCACCTCACACCCATCAGAATGGCCAAGATGAAAAACTCAAGTGACAACACATGCTGGAGAGGTTGTGGAGAAAGGGGAACCTTCCTTCACTGCTGGTGGGAATGTAAACTGGTACAAACACTCTGGAAATCTATCTGGCACTTTCTCAGACAATTAGGACTAGTGCTTCCTCAAGACCCAGCTATACCACTCCTAGGTATATACCCAAAATTTGCTCAAGTACACAAAAGGGATACTTGCTCAACCATGTTTATAGCAGCTTTATTTATAATAGCCAGAACCTGGAAATAACCCAGATGTCCATCAATGGAGGAATGGATACAGAAATTGTGGTATTTTTACACAATGGAATACTACTCAGCAATCAAAAAGGAGGAAATCATGAAATTTGCAGGCAAATGGTGGGATCTAGAAAAGATCATTCTGAGTGAAATATCCCAGAAGGAGAAAGACAAACACGGTATATACTCACTTATATAGACCTATAAGATATAATAAACATAATGAAATCTATACACCTAAAAAAGATAATCAAGAGAGCAGACATGGGGTAAGATGATCAATCCTCATTTAGAAAGACAGATGGGATGTGCATTGAATGTATGACAGGAGTCTACTGAGGGCATCTGAAAGACTCTAACTAGCAGTGTTTTCAAAGCAGATACAAAGACTCATGAACAAACCTTCGGCAAGAGTACAGGGAATCATATGAAAGAAGGGGAGTTAGTATGACGAGGAAAGGATAGGAGCTCCACAAGGACCAAATATATCTGGGAACAGGGTCTTTTCTGAGACTGACATTCAACCAAGGACCAAGTATGGATATAACCTAGAACCTCTGCTCGGATGTAGCCTGTGGTAGCTCAGTAACCAATTGGTTTCTCATAGTAAGGGGAACAAAGACTATTTCTAAGAGGAACTCAATGGAAGGCTCATTGAACTCCCCACCCCCCAAGGGAGGAGCAGTTCTGTTAAGCCACAGAGGAGGGCTTTGCAGCCAGTCCTGAAGATACCTGATAAAACAGGATCAGATGAATGGGGAGGAGGTCCCCCCATCAGTGGACTTGGAAAGGGGCATGGTAGAGATGAGGGAGGGAGGGATTGGGAGGGAATGAGGGAATAGGATACAGCTGGGATACAGAGTTAATAAAATGTAACTGATAAGAAAAAATAAAATTAAAAAAAGTAACATAAAAAAAAAGAAAAAAGGCTGCTGGTGTTGCTAATGCTTTAAAAACCATGTTTCTTTAATTTTTTGTTTTGTTTTGTTTTGTTTTGTTTTTACCTGGAGTCTCACAAAGAGATAGGCAGCTCTCAATGATAGTCAAAACTGTTTAACCTAAAAATTCTAAATTTACACTGTTCCACAGAAGTTAAACATGAAACCACTAAAATTTATGCTAGCATATTTAAATTGTAAGAGAAGGGTCAACCACATTATATACAATCCTAAACTCAAGTGAAATTGTCTTAATTCCACTTCATAAGGCACATTATTAGCAGAAAATATAAAAATAATTTATCTAATATTTTGGAATTAAATAAATTGTAATATTAATAATGATTTCTTTTCTATGCCTAAAATTTTAATGCAAAATAATTTCAGTGAATAGCTCAGTTATAGAATGTAAGTTGTTCATGTTGTATAGCTCTTAGAATGAAATAAGAATTCCTAAGCATGTATCCTTAATTACTCATCATTCTGAAACTGTCTTGCCATTCAAATTCATGTGTCATTGAAAATGTTAGGATTAGCCATATTATTTTGATATAGTGAGGTTTCAAGAGATGATTACAATATCAATTACGTTTTTTTCAAAAAACATAGCATTGGAAAAATTACATCTTAAAAAATGTTTCCAAATTATTACAAAAAATTAAAGCATAAGATATTAATGTTGCAACTATAATGTTATATCATAAGCAAAGAGAAAAAGATATAAAAACTTCAAAAATAATAGGAATTGAAAACAGTTTAATTATCATAAGGGAAATGAAGGAAAAGCAAAGACAAAAAAAAAATAAAAACAAGCTATGAGACACACATGGTGTTTCATTGCTGTAATCACTACTGTTGCAAAGCTGAGGCAAAGAATTGCCTGTGAGTTCATCATGGGTGGATTCTTGTGAGTCAAAAGGGCTACAGAGTGAGAACCTAACCCAACAGTCAAGTCACTCAACCAGTCCATCAGACAGTCCTAGGATTTAGTAAATTTAAATGCATAATTTTGAAACAACATATGACACCGATGTAGGAGTTAATCATTTGATGCGAAAGTATGCCAATTCTAATTATCTCAATTTAAGAATGATGTAGAGTGTACCTTATTCTTGCCAAACAAATATTAAAAATGAAAATACAAAGAACAAATATTTAAAGTACCAACATTTGAAAAGCCAACGATACAAATGGAATGTATTTATTTTATATATAACTTAAATCTCATAAATACATTGGGGTTTCAGAATAAGTAATAATGTTATCAGGGTAGGAAGTTGAAGTGCATGCTAATATGTTTCTGATGCCATATGGCCATATTGCTCACAACCAAAACCATTTTGTAAAGAGGCTTTTCATATTTTCTCATACTATTTTATTTTTACACTTAAAGGGTAATGAATACAGGATGATGTATGAAATTTCGAAAAAGGACCACTTGATAAGTACATTCAGCAT